CCTAAAAAAAAAAAAAAAAAAAAAAAAACTAAAATAGTTAGAAAAATTATTACATATATAATTATTATTTTATTTAAGGTTTCTACGATGTAAGTTTATCCTAAATTGTTAAGAATAATTGAAAAATATTTTAATAAATTAATTTTTTACTTTTAAAAAATAGAGACTAAATTAAAATATATATATATATATATATATGTATATATAATTATATGGTAAGCAAACATATATATTTTAAAATTAATTTAGTTTCACGAGAATTCATGGACCAACTTAATCCATAAAATTTTTATATATTTGAACCTAAGCCTACATAACCCAATCGGAACCGTACAAGTTCGATTGGGTTGATCGAGTTTTTCAGGTCATCGAATTTGAACACCCTACTTATTAAAATGAAAATAAAAAGGTCGAAGCTCGATTACACAATGTTTTCATGAAATATACATCAAAACCTTATATTACAACATAGAAATAATCTTCAAAATTTTTAGGATTAATTGTGATGACCCATGCTCGAGATTCAAATAAGGACTCGCATACCCCTCCTTAAGAATGAAGTTTCTATGATTGAGCCACCGAAAAAAAATGTGCACCTTATTGATACATATAGTAACTTTCATTTCATTTAAGCTTGACTACTCTCATTCGAATCAGTTATCCGTCTTTTATTCGTGTTCACGTTATTAGAAAATCTATTAATTAAAAATTATTATCGTTCGAAATTTAAATTTAAAAAAAAAAATATTAAAGAGAAAACTTGGTCTCCACGTTGGTTGAAAATTGAAGTAAAGGATGGATTTCAACCATTTAGGTCAAAGTCAAAATTTTCAAATTTTCATAACAAAACAAAATTACAATGGATAATTAAAAAAAATCAATTTTCAATTTTGATTAAAAAAAAAAGATAATTCAGGAAAATCCATAAATATCAAATTCAAAATATTTTATCTTCAAATAATATTTTATTTTCAAAATTAAACATTAATTTTATTAATTTTCATGGCCTCTATTTATTCTCTAAATATTAAAATTTGTAATTATATTAGAATTTAATGTGGGAAAAATCTTTATTATTAATTTATTATATTAATTATTACTCACGTACTGTGACGGGACAATTAAGTAAGTTAAATCGACTAATTTTTAAAGGTAGTTAAAATAGTTTCAATAAACACAAAATTAAAAATTTAAATATGAGGAGGTAAATATATACATAATTTCTAAAAAATTTATCGCAAAAATAATAATTTAAAATAAAATTAAGGGTGGGATGGTAATTTTGTTTTTAATTTTATATTTTAAAGTTTTAAAAAGGTGTTTATAATAAGATTAATTTATAAAAAAGAAAAGAAAAAAAAACATTCCTAAAATAAATATTTTGAAATCGGGGGAAAAGGGAAGGATTTTTGAAGAAAGAAGGGAATAAGAACGAAAAAGAGGGGATTCGAAGGTTTTGTATTCGATCCGTGAATTGAAGCAGAGATGCTTTCTCCTTCTTCTTTATCTCTCTCTTCTTCTGATCGAATTGCTTGAATTGCAATCCAAGGCTTCTGAGTACATTGTACGATACATATCACCGCTGTAACACCGACCATTGAATCGGTAAACCATACTTGAAAACTCTTTTTGAATTAGATTGAATTGCATTGAATTAGGTTGAATTGAATTTGGATTGGATTGGATTGGATTGAAGTGAATTGGGGCGCAGAATCACGAGCTCCAACGAGCCGCATCAAAAATCAGCCTCGTTTCAGTTCTTGGCTGGTTTCGATTTCACCGCTTTCCGTTAAACCGCGTGCTTTTAGCGGGTTTTCTTTCTCTCTCTTTCTCTCTCTCTCTCTGTGATTTTTTCTTTCTTTAACCTTTGATTCTGTCAGGCCCTTATCTTCCCTTTTTGTTTCTCTGTTATTTTTTTTCCCTTTCATATCAGAATTCTCAAACAAGCGATCCATTCTGGAAACTACCTCCCATTTATTCTTCCTCCTGCCTTATTTACTTGCTCCTTCCGCCATTAATTCTCTCATTATCTGTTCTTATTACTATTCCATATTACGTTTTTTCGTAATTAACTTTAGAGGAGAGAGAAGAAGGATTGCGGGTGCGGTTTCGGTTTTGGTTTCGGTTTGGGGTTCAATTCAACCTCAGCCCCTTTAAGGCTTTACCCTTATTGAGGTACCCATTTGTTTTTCTTCTCTTTTTTAACTTTTTGTTTATTTATTCCGTTTCTGTTTATTTCTGTTTCTTTTTTCGTTTTTCAATTCAAGCTTCCTGTGCAAACAATGGATTGCGTTTAACCTATGCTTTCCTTTCTTTTCGTTTTTTTTTTTTTTTTTATATGATGGGGGGTTTCCTTTTCCTTCCATGTATACTAATGAAATCGTTCTGATTGTCCGTTTCTTCCTAACCGAACAATCTCCTTTTACTGGGTCAAAATTTGTATTTAATAATATTATCAACCATTTGATGTCAATATTCTGGGTAATCTTTTGGAATTTTGGAAACTGGGTTTCGATGAACGCATGCAATTGATTATCATTTGGGTTTTCTTTTCTCCGATTGTTCTTCGAATTCACTCGTAATTCTTGAGGGTGTGAGTTTGTAAATCAACCCATTTGCATCCATTGAAGCTTTTGGTTGAGACAGTCGACATATATTCCTTCCCGGAATGCTTTTCCGTTTGTAGCTCTCTTGAATCGAGGGTAATCACTAGATTTATTAACTTCTGTCGTGAATATGATATGTGATTGCTGCAGATAGCTTAATTAGGCACATGCAGACCTTCTTTTCTCTTATTATTTCGCAGATTTTCATGGTTTTGCATACGAGTTTTAATTTGCATGTGTGGTTGATGAATTAGGTTTTCTCGTTATTGCAGCCTATGGACCAGATTAAATCGAGAGCAGATTCTGAGGCAAAAGGGGTGAGATTTGTGATTTCTTCTTTTGATATTGAATGTGT